CTGGTGATTGTTGGGCGACGTGGCGGGTGTGAACGCGTGGAGGTTCGGTGGGGTGACTCGTTGAATCGTCACTGACTCGATGGAAACCGGGCCGGCTTTCTGCAGAATCGCGCGGTACACGCTAATCCAACCGTCCTCGCTTCTTCTGTGGAAATACAGAGTCGAGTCGTCGACCCAACTCGGCCACCCGCCATGTTCGACCACCTTGACCCTGTGAGTCCCATCCCGAGTCAGGAAGATATAGATGTCCGTGGTTAGCTCCTCCACTTCGCCGGCCCAGCCTCTCTCTGCGTACGACGCAACGGCGGTCCAATTCCCGGAGGGAGAAACCGCGGGGCTGAAGTCGGCGATTCCACGCGGCGTCAGCCGCCGAGTCAACCCGGTCTGCACCTGAGTCGAGTAGACCGCGGCCCAACTCGCCCTGGGAACACCCGGGTCCTCGTGGGTCGACACGTAGACAAGGTAGTCGCCGATCAAACTGGGCTTATCTCTCATCGAATTTACCGTCATGCCACTCCGACCATCGGCGCCGGATAACAACGGGACCTGGACCCGAGCCGACGACTCTAGAAGCGATCGCTTCGTCATGCTTCCAGAATCTTGGCCATAAACGACGTCGTAGTATATGCTCGACGTGCCGTTCCTCTCGGTTATGTAGATGAGATGCAGAGGAGGCGTAACTGTTTCCTGTTGGATTAGGGTTTCGTCGGGAAGAAGAGATAGAAGAGCCGGAGAGGGAGAAGGAAAATAGCCGTTGAAATTCACGGACTCGCCGTCGGTGATCCTGATCTCCATGGAAGCCGACGGCGGACGGCGGCGCGTGGGGAGGGTGAATATGTCGAACTCGTAGTGCGATCTATCGAGCGTCGCGAAAATCAAACTCGCTCCGCTCGAAGCTCCGGTCTCCGGCGCCGTCACCGACGCCGATGCTAGCGGAAGAACCGGGAGGAGGAAGAGGAAGAAGGAGAAGGAGAAGAGAATCGAGGTGGTTTTCATGGCGGATAGTTCCATTTTCGTTCACGACTCATGAGTGTGCCACGGCCTTTTAAACTTGGAAGGAGGAGTAATTTTCGCACGTGGCGTAAGAGATGACGTGGTGGCGTTGGTTTAGATGGTGACACGTGGCGGTCACTTGTAGGTACGGATAGGGTTCAGATATTTTTTTCCTTTTAATTCAACGTTCTTGTTTCGTATGGGTATGTTATGTGTCGTATAATCCTTTTTTTTTTATGTTTTAGTGGAATTTTGAGGTTTGAGAAAGAACAAGCAGCAGAGTTTACGATTTTTCATCAACAAAATTATATGACTTCCATTTTTATTGATAATTTTAAAAAATGAATTTTTTGTCATTTTATATTTAATTAGATAATTATATTTTTTTTTAAATTATATTTATTTTCTTTTTATAGCAAATTCAATGTAGATATTATTTCATATTTTTTTTTATTCGAATCAATTTTATCAAATCTAAATAGATTCCTAATTATAACTGTTTGAAATCCTATTTAGATATTTTAAAAGGTTTTGTTGTCGGGAGACATTTGGCTATTCATCATTTCCCATTCGAATTAATTCGAAAATTCATACTAAATGAATTCAAATACAAACACAATCATAATTTACCACATTCAAATATATTTAAAATTCAAAAGATTATATATCATAAAAATTTATATAAAATGGATGTCTTTTTCCATATATTGATTATTTCTTAGAGGGAAAAAATGATTGGACTTATGGGTTTAAACTTTAAATATATTATAATTATTTGGGTAGATTGTGTATTACTCTATATTCGCTAAGATTACCAAAGCCAAGATAATCTTAATCTTCTTTAGGTCTTAATATATATATATGCGTGTGTGTGTGGAAAAATAACATTCGTTACTATACTGTATACAATCCCGGTCCAAAAAAAATATTTAACAGAAGACATTTTCCAATAAAGACAAATCGGATTTGAGTTTTAACTAGAAGAATGTCACTGAACTTTTCGAGTGATGACGTGGTTGAACGCCGGCGGGACCCATTTGGCTGAGATCGACACGTGGCAACTGATGGTTTGAGCCTTGGATTTTTTTTCTTTTCCTTTCTTTTTTTTTTCCGGATTAAAAGATGACAACGATGGTGAAAAAAAGGGTTAATTAGGATCCGCATTTCCATTTAGTTAAGAACAATTTTTTTTTTTAAATTTTTATTATATAAATAGTGATAGTAATGATCTAATATCTCTTGCAAAGTCTACATTTATATATTATCTAATATCCTAGAAATCTTGGATAACCAATGAAAATGTTCATACTATTTGGATTCAACCAAAGTTCCAAACTTTGATTTCACAAGAACTTTTCTCATGCAATTGATTTTTTTTTTTAATTTTAAAACTGGTAAGCTTTCAATTTAGCGCTACATATAACTTTTTCCATATGTGGTCATGTGATTACAATAATTATATGATAAGATAATAATGGTAACAACCTTAAATTTTTTATAATTTTGTCAAATGATTAGTATGATATATAAAGTATGACCATAAATTTAATGTTATGATCACGATACGATCATACAATTATTTTGGTCAAGTGATCGAAAGAAGGGGTTAACTCGATAAATAGTTTTTAGCAAGTATTTTGGATAATGCCCTTCTCAACGCTCCAAAACCATTTACGATCAAATTCGAGGTTGTGATTAAACAAAATGACTAAGAAAGTGGTTCCTTTTTTTTTTGTACTTCTTCTCCTTGTTCTGAAACTCTGTCGTTCTTCTCTATCACGGACAAATCTGTCTCTTCCCATTGATTGTCTTCAACATGTGTTTCAAGCTTAGTTTTTTTACAGCTCTGTGTCCAAACAAAGACACTGATTGTTCCAGAGGCTTCACTGTGGTGAGCAAACAGATCAAGTCAATGGACCTGAACTGATTCCCGCGCAGATGAATGATTCCGCCATTAAAGACGCTTCACCGAGCTCCGGTAGACCCAGAAATCAGAAATCACCTTCTCCTTCTCTCTCTCAAGCAACTCATACTGTTCATAAACTCACGCCATTTCTGTGTTCTTCGTACGTAATCGAATCAAAGAGAAGAAACAATATTAACCCGAAGATAGAACTCGCCGGAAAAAATGGCGGAAAAATCTCGTTTCCGTGAAGAAACAGAGAGTGATGAATCACAAACGGTTCAATTCCGGTTCAAGGCTTCTAATCTGTTTACTGCAAACCAAACCGGAATAGTTACAGCTTCGTACCGGGTATCGAACCGGAACCGGTTTGGGATACATTAGGGCTAATACTTTTTCCTCTGGTATCTTCGTTCTCTCCCAGCCTCCATCGCCATCGTCTTCATCATGCGGAGGATACTTTTGCAGAAGCTCCATGCTTGGCCGTTCAGATCCTGTGGTTCCTTCGCTCAGAACCGGTCGTTCTCAGAGGCTTTGACGCTTCATTACTCCGCCGGCGAGGCATCGGAGCTTCAGTTCTCCACCGGCGACATCGTAGGTTGTCTGAAAGACTGGTTCAAGTCAAGCCCCCACATCCAGGCCGATCGATTCTTAGATCTGAATCGCATCTTCGAGATCCTTCGCTCTCCCTCCGCATCAGACGGCGGAGAAGATCTCCACCTCCGCCTGTCCCGGCTCGGCATCCGCCTCTCGGAGGAGCTCATCCTCCGCGTGCTCTCCTTTGGCGGCAACGATGTCGCCTCTTGTATTAAGTTCTTCGACTGGGCTTCCCGACAACCGGGGTTCTATCACTCTCGCGCCACGTTCCATGCCTACTTCAAGCTCCTCCACCGTGCCGGGCTCACGCCGGATTTTTCGATCCCCCATTCCCTCCGCGTCAGCGATGCCCTCGTCATCGGTTACTCCCTCGTCGGTCAAGTCGACGTCGCTCTCCGACACTTCGGTTCCATGAGATTCAGAGGTTTGGATTTAGATTCGTTTGGGTATCATGTTCTCCTCAATGCCCTCGTCGAGGAGAGTTACTTCGACACTGTCGATGTCATCGTCGATCAGATCTCCTCGCGCGGCTTCGTCTGCGGCATCACGCATTCCATCTTGGTCAAGAGTTTCTGCAAGCAAGGTAAGCTAACCGAGGCTGAGAACTATGTCCGTAGCTTGCTCAAAACCGATGGTGATCCAGACGGATTCTCGACTGCATACGGCCTTGTAGTCGATGCTCTATGTTCCCGTAACTTGTTTCGTCGGGCGGCTAGATTGCTGGACGAGGTCAGAGAGCTGGGTACAGTCCGAATGGACCGAGGTTACAGCATCTGGATCAAGGCTCTCATCCGAGCCAGGAGTTCGCTCGGGGCTGTCCACTTCTTGCACAAGTTGAATTCTTTAGGAGATGGGCGTGTTGTTGATGTTTTTACGTACAACGCTTTGGTGCTTCAGCTTTTGAGGGAGAATCGGCTCATGGAGGTCTGTGATGTCATTATCGAGATGATGGAGCAAGGGGTTTCTCCCGATAAGGGCACCATGAACGCGGTCTTATGCTTCTTCTGCAAAGCCGGACTGGTGGATATAGCCCTCGAACTGTGCCGGTCTAGGTCAGAGATCGGTCTTGCTCTTACCACCATGGCTTACAACTATCTAATCAATACCCTGTGCGAGCAAGACCATCGCAGTGTCGAACGGGCTTATGGTATCTTCAAAGCTTCGATCGATCAAGGACATTTCCCCGGTAGATACACTCTACATATACTTGCCAAGGCTCTGTGCGAGAAGGGGAAGCTTGAAAACATGAAGGAACTGTCCATTTTATCGTTAAGACACAGGTTACTGCCTAGTGGGGTAGCCTATGGCAGGTTTGTGTCGGCTCTTTGCAAGGCCGGGAAATTGGAAGATGGTCTTTTGATCCGTGATGATCTCGTTAGGGCCGGTATTGACATTACCGCAAACATGTTCATCAGCTTGATAACTGTGTCTGTCAGGTCAAACAAGGGGGACATAGCTGCCAAACTTCTCATCGAAATGCAGAAAAAGGGTTACGCCCCGGCCCCGGGACTGTACCGAAGTGTTATCCAATCTCTGTGCGGGATGGAAAATTGCATGGACAGCTTTTTCAACTTGCTAGAGGTGCAGTTACGTCTTCTCGAAGACAAAGTTAAGGTATATAATCGCTTCATCGATGGAGCCGGGCATGCAGGAAAGCCAGAACTCACAGCAAAAGTATACAAGATGATGATGAAAGATCAGATCAGGCCAACATTAGCATCAAATATTCTTCTGCTCAAGTGTTATATAAGGGCTGGAAAATTTTCAGATGCTGTAAACTTCTTCGATGCCCTTTGCGAAAAAGGCGAGGTAAGTGGAAAACTTTACCATACCATGATCCGTGAGCTATGTAAAGCCAAGAAGGGGAATATTGCATTGATGTATTTCGACGAGATGAAGCGTAACGGGCTGCTCCCTAGCATTGAATGCTATGAAAGGGTCATAACTCACATGTGCACCAATGGCATGTATGAGACAGGGATTAGGTTAGTCAGCGAGTTTAGGAAAACAGGCAGACCCCTTACAGCGTTCATTGGTAATAATCTTTTGTTTAACGCATTGAAGACCCGAGGAATATATGAAGCATGGATTCGGATGAGAGATGATCTTGAGGTGACGCCCCAGATGAGGTTGCTTGGGGAATTGATCGGGATATTCTCAGGACGGGTCAGAGTGATGGGAGAGATAAAGACGTTGGATGAAGTTATCGAGAAATGCTACCCTCTTAGTATCTTCACTTACAATATGTTGCTGAGAAGGTTGATGATGGAACGGGTCGATGATGCACTCGAGATGGTTAAACGGTTGTGTCAGAGAGGGTATGAGCCCGACCAATGGACTCACATGATAATATATCAGGGTCTTCGCGAAGCCGGTAGATGGGAAGAGGCGGAGAAATGGTTAGAAGCCACGGAAGCAAGCTACCAAACACACGGTAAAGGTCGATGAGTTCTTCAGCCTTAGCCAGGTTAGCGTCTCTCATATCTTCTTATGTATGTCATAAGCTGATTAAAAGGGAGAAAAAATTGGAATTAGACGAAGAAAAGGGAAGGTCTGGAATCGTTTTATCAGTCGTCAAAGTTCTGTCTGAAACCCGAGATGTTTGCTCGTTCTAAGTGTAATGTTACTGAAGACAGGGGAGTGATCTGAAGGCGTGGTTACTTCTTGTGGTATGAGGCCGAGCAAGCGAATCCATATACTGATGTACGAATATCGGAGAAAACATCTCGACTTGCCTATAAAAATTCCTGTTTTCGGGTCTCGGGAGAGAGACCTGATGGATTTGCTTTTTTGCTGCTCTGGTTCTTGGCAGCAGCCACGACCTGGATGAAGAATATCGGGTCTGGATGCATCATATTCGTGCTAAGCTGCCAGGTTCGATTCTTACATGAGATTGAGTTTCGAATTTTTCCAGTTTAGATCGAAATTTAAAGATGTTCATGATGAGATTCTCTTAGTTTTGTTACTGAGAAGATTTGTTATGCACTTTGTTCATAAGGTGAAAACCAGTCTACACAGTTCTGAATCAAAGCCAAAATGATATAATTAGGTCTTGGATACTATAGATCGTATTCGTCGGTCCAATTATTTACATACCCTTTTCTTCATTTCACTGAAACAGGATCATCATTAATGCTCCAATCTCCGACCAGCCCCAAGAAAGCTTCAATTTTGTGATGACCCTTTTCAGGTCCCCGACCGCAGAATCCGAATGGATTTTGGTAACATCTCGAAATGCGTATCCAAAGCCAATGGATCTGGCTGCAGAAGCGTGATCTCGGGTTTCGGGAAATGGATAGGTATCCTCCAATGGTTCTGGCTGCATATATGTGGTATCTTCGGGAAACAGACAGGTATCCTCCAATGGTTCGGGTTGCAGAAACGTGATCTCGGGTTTCGAGAAACGGATAGAGTATCCTCCAATGGCTGCCGACTGAATCAGGCGAGTTTCGGGACTAGGGGTGTTGTGGCAGGATCTTAGTCTTGGCCGCAAGATTCAGATCGGACGGCCGTCGCTCGGCCGGAGAACAGAACAGCATAAAACATAAAGGCTAAAGAACACTACCCTTCGTCTTATTTGTCTTGTCCCCACAAAGCAAAAAAGGTTTTTTGATCTTTGCTTTACCAATATTATTTTGATTCATCGTACATATTCATTATCCATTTTTCCTTGTATATTATTTAAATTTAATGTTGTTTTAATAAGAAAAAATAATATGATTGTTTTAGACATAAAAAAAATTCTTATTATATTCCATCTATATTTTGAACACGAGATATTAATAATTAACAAATGACGCATAATATTATTCTCTTAATGTTCCAATCAAGCGTTACACAACGCGAGAATTTCATATCAGACAAATGATTATTAATGCATCCACGCTTGCAAGTTGCAACCATCAAGCATATATAGATGATGGATTTGTGACGACCCTTTTATTATATGTACTTGCTTATTTATATATTTATTTGTATTTTTTTAATATATGTTCGGCATTCGAGCCAAGACGGATTCCATCTTTTTGGGGTAAGCACACCCGTCCTCGCAATGATAATAAGCCATCATATATAATATGTTCATTTCTTTGTATTTTGTTGCTCATATTGATTATAAAAATTATATAGCATATTTTGATAAAATCATATTACATTCAAGATCCTTGCATTTCATTTTAATTTTCATGTCGTTTGAAAATATTGAAAAATGAACACGAGATATTTATAACAAAGATAAGACATGATATTATTCTCATAATACAGCTCCATCTGATTTCTCACATCAAATGATTTCCCATTACTACACAAATATATATATATATATATATATATATATATATATATATTTGTAATGATCAAACATATATAGGGTGTGATTGGTGGTAACGCAATCGCCCGCAATTGCAGCGATTGCGACTTCTGACGATTACGGGTGATTGAAAAAGTGATTGTTGGAATCGTAATCGCCCGTAATCGCAACAAAACATCAATATTCTAATCGCAGCTAAAAGATTGCATTACGATAGCGTTTTGCAGCGTTTTGATTAAATGACCAAAATACCCCCAATATTAATTAGTATATATATATATTGGAATCGTAATCGTCCGTAATCGCAACAAAACATCAATATTCTAATCGCAGTTAAAAGATTGCGTTACGATAGTGTTTTGCAGCGTTTTGATTAAATGATCAAAATACCCCTAATATTAATTAATATATATACATACATATCATATTATATATATAAAGAACTTACGTATGTTTATATATACATAAAATATATAAATACATATATATATAAAATACATATATATATACATACACACATACATACATATATACATACAAACATATATATATATACACAAACAATCATATATACATACATACATCTATAGTACACATACATACATATACATATACACATACATATATACACACACGTACATATATAAACATATACATACATACATACATATATATATACACACATATATACACACATACATATATATATACACACATACATGCATACATACATATATATATACACATATATATACACAAACAATCATATATACATACATACATCTATATACACATAAACATACATACATATATATACACATACATACATATATATATACACATGTATACACATATACACATATACATATATAAATATATATATACATACGTACATATACATATATATACACATATATATACATACATGCATACATATACACACACATACATATATATACATACATACACACATATATATACATACATACACACATATATATACATACATATATACACACATACATATATATACATATATTTATATACTTAATACATATATACATACATAAATTAAAAAAATATATTAATAATTTTGTTTGGTATATATTATGTTTGATATTGTTTGGTTTTACCAATAAATATTTTTAATATTAAAATTATTTTGAAAATAACATACATATACATATATAGACATATATATACATATATTTATATACTTAATACATATATACATACATAAATTAAAAAAATATATTAATAATTTTGTTTGGTATATATTATGTTTGATATTGTTTGGTTTTACCAATAAATATTTTTAATATTAAAATTATCTTTGAAAATAAATTAAATTTGATAACAAAATAATATTTTCAATTTTATAATTAATTATTTATAAATTTAATAATTATTTGATATTAAATAATAGTAAAAAAAACTAATTAAAAATATTTTAAAAATGGTTAATATTGTATATAATGATGTATTTTTTTGTAATTTAAATCAAATCGCAATCGCAATCGCTGTCAACCAATCGTTTTAAATCGCAATCACTCGCAATCGCTATCAACAACAGTTTTTTTACCAGTCAGTACCAATCGCCTAGAATCGCCAGCAAACGCATCGTAAACGCCTGCAATCACCGCGATTGCGATTGCGATTCCACCAGTCAACACCATAGATAACGATGGTGATCGGCGATTGCCGCCCTTGCCGGGGGCCGACGGAGGAATCGGACCCTTCGATAATACTCCGGACGACAGACGTGAAAGATCCAACGGTTGAGAACGCATCGACCGGGCCGAGACCATGAATACGGCAAAGACCATAGCAAAGAGGGTTACAAGCAATGGCAACTTGCTCATTGTTTTTGGCTTTTAGGGTTTTGATATAGGGATTTTTTTTTAATCAACCCTTTTATTCCATGCACTTGCTTATATAGAGTAGAGGTGAATCAGGTGATGGTTTCGGGTTTCTATCGGTTCGGTTATATTTGGCTTCGGTTTTTTCCGGTCATACCATAACTATAATCATTCGGTTTAAATCAAATTTGGTTCGGTTTGATTTGGTTCTATTTTGTTCGGTTTAGATTCGGGTTTTATTCATAAAATTTTCATTTTGAAAGAAATTTTCTATTTTTCAATTATTTTTTATTCGATTTGGTTCGGTTCGAATTCGATTTTTTGATTTAGAAAAATCATAACCATATATTCGGTTCACATACGATTATATCATATCTGGATCGGATCGATTTGGATTAATCAATTAATAACAAAAATCGTCACCCCACATAGAGAGATATTTTCATATTTTCAGTGGGATTTTATTCTTCAATCTGTGGTGTTCGGATTCCGTTTCCGTTAAAAAATCTTTATTTTGATATATACGAGATATTAATAATTAACAAATAACAGATGATATCAATCTCACAATAATGGATTATTAATCAATAAAATGATTTTTTGGGTTTTTAGAAGAAAAAAAACAAATATATTTCACTGGATCTTATTTTGGTTTTTAAATTCGAAAATCTCCAAAAACTCTAGTCATTCAATATATATATATATATATAATATTCTCAAACATTTATAACGAATTTACGATTAAAAAAAATAGTGAGTAGTGAGAGAGAGTATACACTCCCGAATTCTATATTTGCGCAAATATAGACGTGATTGGAGGCTACGTGGCAACACGGACGGATTTGATGTATTAAGCAAATGAAACAAAAAATGATACTACTGATAATAATTACATGGACCGCAAAAAAAAAAATGAAATGTTTATTTTATTATATTTTGCGTATTATAATAAAATAATGATAAGACCAAAATCTCTTTAACGATAAAGAAGTGAATAGGGGTAGATGGAATTGGTTTGACCAGGAGGAGATGTCGTCGCCGGAGGGCGTGGACTGTGCTTCGGACGCAACTTCAACCACCAGCCTCCGACCAGTTTCCCGGTGAATTTTCCGGCGAACTCATGACTCCAACACATATGGCAAATTAAGAAACGAGCTAGGGTTCCGACCAGATGCTTCCTTTTCATTGTTTCTATATATATATATTTGTATATCTGTATGATTTAAGGTTTATGTTTGATTCACAATAACAACTTGTTTAAGGTTTTTTTTTTTAATGGTAAATATTATATATTTAAATGACCGTAAAAAAGAGATTACAAAAGATAATACAGATATTAGAATTCATAATAGCAAACCAGAATAATAAACTAAAAAAGATTGAAAGTTAAATAGTAAGTCATCGTAAAGTGAGTATACTTCACATTTATCGGAAAACCTTTTAGAGTGAAAGACATACTTTAGATTTTGATTGTTTTCGAATTAGGTTTTTAAATATTTATGACTATTTTAGTATAACTCTCACATTTTATTTGGATTTGGTATGGTGAATTCTGCTATATGTATTTAGGAATGCTACAATGGATTTTCTCTATTACAAGAACATTCATATTTATAAGATTTACGTTAAAAAAAGGGTTTATGTTTGATAGAGTATAATCATAAATCTGCCTTAATTTATTGCTTAATACAAATAAGGAAATCTAAATTAAATATAAAATATAACGATAAATAAGGTTAAAAAAAATCAGAAATACATATAACAAAATGTGTATATATATATATATATGTGTAATATTACATAAAGTTTCAGTATTCTTTTACAACCATATCATACATATATATATATATATATATATATATATAATTTATATACGTTTATTTCACCCAAACACAAGCACAAGTACAGATTAAAGAGGGACTAAATTCACACAAAGACCCCTTACAGAGAAGGTGAAGGTGGATTAGGGTTATGGCGAGGGTTTGGGCCCGAGGGACGAATCGGTGGATGAACCATAACCAGATCCGACGGCTGTGGTTGCACCATCTCATCACCCAGATATATATCCAACGGTCGAGGTTGAACCGGAAAACCGATTAGCCCTAAACACAAGGCTAAATATAGAAGCAGCAAAACCCTAGTCTTGTTCATTTTTTTTTCTCCTTTTCTTCTTTCGTTACCGTTAAAAAAAATTATGGCTTCACTTAATATATGAAATATCAAGGAATCCATATATATATCCCAAGAAAGCTTCAATTTTGTGATGACCCTTTTCAGGTCCCCGACCGCAGAATCCGAATGGATTTTGGTAACATCTCGAAATGCGTATCCAAAGCCAATGGATAATTAATGAGTCTGGTTCAGTATTTAATCTTATAGTTAATGCAAAATTACTTTTTTTTTTCCATGGCACAGCCGAATATAATTTGTAATTAGTTGTTTGCTTGCGGTGTTTGTTCTATGAGTTATGTGCCTTCTGATTCAAAGAGAGATCTTCACACACAGCTTTACACAAACATTCACACATATTATTGTAGATAGGGTTATGCAAAACCTAAACGAATAATATATAATTAGGGGACCATTTCAGATTTCAGTTCAGTTCGTTTATTTCGATTATAGAAGAACTATAACCATTCAATTTTCATATTAACTTTGGATCGGTTCGATTTCAGTTCTATTTCGGTTCTAATTCAGTTTTTTTATTGGTAATCATTTTTTTTCAAAAGAACTATCGTTTTTTCGGTTATTTTTTTATTCGGTCCGGATTCGATTTTTTTGAATTTAGAGAAGTCATGATAATCGTTCGGTTTTTATATCGGATTTGATTCGATTATATAGAGTTATATTTTATTCGGTTCGGTTCGGTTTGATTATTCGGTTAATAATTGAAATGATCACCCACTATATATAATCACATGTACACCTAAATTGAACAACGCTTGGTTATGAGTTTTTTAAATTAAATTAACTAAGTTTTGAATTGAAAATAAAAATAATCTTAAAAACAAAATGAAAATGTATTCTTTTTAAAAAAAATAAGTATTTTATTAATAAAGACTGAACTCGAATAAAATATTATACAAAAATTCGAATCTATATAGTTTTTACAAAATAGAAAAAAAAACAAACCTAAAACAGAAGTGAAATCCGAAATATGCATTCATTATTGTAAGTTTTGAGTTCAATTAATTTCTCTTAGATTTTATACATTTGGTGGATGGAAATTAAATTTTTCTTTTCTTTTTATAGTGTTTTTCCACCTAAAAATTGATTACGTGAAGTTAAAAAAAAAAACCTTGGTTAACCAACGGAGGACTTCATCAGAATATAATATGTATGAATGCATATGATTGTGTGTGTGTGTGTATATATATATATATATGTATGTGTTTTTTGTACAGTTTTGTTACTGATTTTTCAAAAAATTTGTTGACGTGGTGACGTGGGATGACGTGGCAAACTAGTCACATCTTAGATTTACCTCAGTAAACTCTAGCAACAACTTGATTTTAAAAAAAAAAGCTAACTAATTTATATTTAATGTGAAAGTCAAAACAACTTTATTTTATATTACTTTCCCGGGTTTTAAGAGTTTAATATTTTTTAGTAACTTTTTACAAATACATATATTTTATTTAATGGAGTCTTTTTTATATTATATATATAGGGTTTTATTAAGTGCAACCTGGATCCCATAAATTTTAGACCCATTTTTTTAAAAATAATTATTACTAACTGTAGATAACTATCCATTCTAATATAACATTTATTTATTTAGAAAATAATTACTCCAATTAAACCTTTTAGATATGATTACTATATATTATTAGTAAATAAATAGATATAAATTATAAAAAATTAATTAAGTCGCAAAACTAATTAGTTTGCTCGTTAATTTATTATTAATACAAATTAACATTAAATTAAAATTTTAAATTGATTTCATAATTTCTATATTTCAGTAATAAATTAAAATTTTATTTTAAAAACTGAAAAATGGTTATATTTATCATAGGAATCCTAAATTTATCGATTTCTTTAAAAAACTAATATTATTATCATCATTAATACATAAAAACATTATAAAAATTTATTAGATGAGAAGAAGTAAAGACAATGGATAATATTATTCTCGTATTAGATCATATGATGCAAATATCAGACGAATTTACATTCATATTTTAAATTTTCAAACGTATATAGATGAAGATGTAGATGGAAAGCGGTTATCGCGACGCATGTTGGGTGTTGATGGAGGCACTGGAGTATTCTTCTGACAGTTCTCCAAATGATGAATACGATACATGCAACGGCTGAGATCTCACGTCAGCAGAAGGGGTCGGAGAGCCGTGGTTGCCGCCCTTGCCAGGAGCTGATGGAGGCACTGGAACATTCTTTGCTAGTTCTCCGAATAACGAATACGATAAATCCAACGGCTGAGATCTCACGTCAGGAGAAGGGGTCGGAGAGCCGTGGTTCCCGCGCTTGCCAGGACCTGATGGAGGCACTGGAACATTTTTCGGTTGTTCTCCAGATGATGAATACGATACATCCAACGGCTGAGATCTCACGTCAGGAGAAGGAGTCGGAGAGCCGTGGTTGCCGCCCTTGCCAGGAGCTGATGGAGGCACTGGAACATTCTTTGCTAGTTCTCCAAATGACGAATACGATAGATCCCACGAGTGAGATCTCACGTCAGGAGAAGGGGTCGGAGAGCCGTGGTTCCCGCGCTTGCCGGGACCTGATGGAGGAAATGACGAATACGATAGATCCAACGACTGAGATCTCACGTCAGGAGAAGGGGTCGGAGAGCCGTGGTTCCCGCGCTTGCCGGGACCTGATGGAGGCGCTCGGTTTTCGGTTGTTCTCCAGATGATGAATACGATACATCCAACGGCTGAGATCTCACGTCAGGAGAAGGAGTCGGAGAGCCGTGGTTGCCGCCCTTGCCAGGAGCTGATGGAGGCACTGGAACATTCTTTGATAGCTCTCCGAATGACGAATACGATAGACCCAACGGCTGAGATCTCACGTCATGAGAAGGGGTCGGAGAGCCGTGGTTCCCGCGCTTGCCGGGACCTGATGGAGGCACTGGAACATTCTTCGGTAGTTCTCCAGATGATGAATACGATACATCCAACGGCTGAGATCTCACGTCAGGAGAAGGAGTCGGAGAGCCGTGGTTGCCGCCCTTGCCAGGAGCTGATGGAGGCACTGGAACATTCTTTGATAGCTCTCCGAATGACGAATACGATAGACCCAACGGCTGAGATCTCACGTCATGAGAAGGGGTCGGAGAGCCGTGGTTCCCGCGCTTGCCGGGACCTGATGGAGGCACTGGAACATTCTTCGGTTGTTCTCCAGATGATGAATACGATACATCCAACGGCTGAGATCTCACGTCAGGAGAAGGAGTCGGAGAGCCGTGGTTCCCGCGCTTGTCGGGACTTGATAGCAGTAATGGAAC